ACGTCCATGGGCAGCCACATCATCTCCTCCGTGTCCAAGTTCTGCAGCGGCGGGAGCTGGAGCTGAGTTTTCCCATGTCGGGATGCAAAGGGCTGCCAGGATGGAAACGGGGAGCCGGGACGGGTGGGAGGGCAGGGAGGGACCTTCCCGGGGTGCCACCCCACCAGGGCTCACAGCGGGCACCACGGCATGGGGGGTTTCAGGGACTTGAAACTGTGGATCCGCAGGTAGAGAAATCCTGGTGGAATCTGTTGACATAATATATGATTCGTGCGTTTCCTGACACGGTGCGATTCATGCGTTTCCCCTTCATCTCATCCGTGCTTCGTATCACTGCCAGCTCCCCAGCGCCCGCTCCCACCCTCGCCCAGCCACGTTCAGCTCCAAGCGCCGCCGTTCCTCCGTGCAAAGGTGTGCGCCCACATGCGTGTGAACTGGAGCTCTGACTGTAGCATTTAATTTACTTTGAAGGAAAAAAAAAAAACCCCACAACAACGCTGTCCTTGAGAGAGAGAGAATAAAGTTTTCACAGTGGCACTGAGGCAGGTCAAGTGTTTTTACTGAGAGCAGTCTCAGTCTCCTTAGGGGAGAAGGAAAATAAACTGGTGGGGTTGTGAAGGAGGCACAGGGCATCACCTCGCCCAGTGCCCAAACTCGGCTCCGTTCAGACACATCTGAACTTGCCCCTTCCAGTAACGGGGCGTTGGGTCCAGCTTTGGGGTCTGCCGGGACTCAGACTTTCACCCAGATGCTTGGTTGCTACTGCTCGTGCATGGGCTCATTCTGCACCACTGATGGGTATTCCCACCCTCCTCCCCTTCCCCATCCATCCATCCAAACCTCAGGCTCCCACTTATGTGGGTACATTCCTGCAGAGAAGATCAAAAAGCAGCTTCCCCCTTCCAGCCCTTCATTTTACCCCAAAACTCCCCATAGCCAGAGCACCAGGGCAGCTCCAAAAATCCCCTTACACCAACAAAACCCCAGCAGAGTTACGCGGCAGGTATTACCACGAGAGCAGGTTTTACGCTTCAGCCTTCACAAGTCAAATTCCTTCTCTACAGCCTGGAGAGAGGTTTGCTGGCTGCTGGCGAAGTTTCATTACATGCACTTTTACATCTAGACAGAGGCCAGTTCCAAAACACATTGAGCAAAGAAAGCCTTTTAGTGCAATAATCAATGGGAAGACTTTTACTCCAAGAACAGAAAGTTTAAAATGCTTTGAGAGCATGGTTTCAGAAAATAACAGGAGCAATATTTGATATTGGAGGGGGGGAACCCCTACCACGAGCTATCTCACAAAAGTATGTTCCCCAAGGGTTCACGCCTGCTTGAAGGAAGAAACACAAAAAGACACATTAAACCCCCTTCTGCCAGCACAGACAAAACAAACAAAACCACCACAGACAGAAGTTGCTCATTTGGAGAAATTTCAGACAATTGCCATTTGAAGAAACAGAGCAGAGAGCAGGAGCAGAGAACCGGGCTACAAAGGATGCACCATTGTCAAAAGTGATGTGGCAGCCGCAGTTACTAGGAGACCAGGACGGGCCATTATTCGGGCTTGGGAGAAGAGGATCCCTGCTAGCGGAGTCACAACCCATGCTCAGAAAAGGATTTCACTGAGCTGGATGGCAAACAATAAAAGAGGGAAAAAAAAAAAAAAAATCCCCACACCCTAAATCCGCCTGCCCTTAACACCCCGCTCACCCCCTGCTACGATGAGATGCAAGGGAAAGCCCTTGCACCAACTCATTTGGTAAAATTTCCCTCGTTAGAGACTAAGTCAAGGTGTGCTTGAATGCATTCACTTATAGCTTATGATTATTTGCTTTGTGGGGTGTTGCTCAAGCTGTGCTGCACGGTGGAGGCTGGCCATGGAGTTGTTTCTGCTTCTTGAGCGGAGGAGTTAAATCCCTGCGACTGCCTCTGCTGCAATATTACACAAGGAACCAAGGTTTAATTTCTTTCCCCATTAGTAGATGGACATAAAATAGATTTGGGGGTGGGGGGAGCTAAAATTTATCCAAATGAAGTTCCGTGAGTTGCAAACTTCATTACAAATGAAGCAGCGTGTAACGACTATGGAAAGCAGACTTCAAAAATCCTCTGTGACACCAGGGCTCAGCAAAATCCACACAAGCGTTCACAGGCATTTTTGCAATTGGAGCCTATCTCCATTTATAAGACGCAGCCCCTTATCATCTTGGATAACTCAGTGGATGGCCAATCTCTTTGTCTCCAAAGCGGGGAAAACCCTGATGGGAACTACTTACTGCTGTCATCTACAACTACACAGTGACTGTTCTCCATCTCCAGTAATTAGCTCTCTTTAGTTTGTTAATATTTTTTCCTCTTCCCCACAAAATCCTCCTAATTTAAATTGCATGAGTCTCCCAGCCGAGCTTCCCAGAACAGCCTGCTCCACCTTCCCACCAAAGTCAATCAGCAGCCCCCAGCCAGTAATTACACTCATTACGGCTGGTGGGGACCAGTTGATCCGGGCTCCCCAGCACCAGGATTAGACGAGTCAGAAAAAAATCAGGAGCCGATGGATTTGCTGCAGGAATACAACCACCCCAACATCTCCCCAGTCCTGACACCGCTCTCCACCCCGGGGTGGTGGATCCCATCCCTTCTGCCTCCTCTGGTTTTAAGGACTGAAGCGATGAGACTTCCACCATCTTCCTTAAAACGCTGTTTAATATTTGAGTAATTCTCCCATTAAGATAATTTTCTCAACTCTGCACAGTCCAAGTGCTCCTTTGTTAATTTTGCCCTATATAGTAAAAAATAATTTGGTATAATCAACCTCAAATAAACCTAAATCTCTCTCTCTGTAGGTTACTGGGACCTCTTCTCCCTTTGTAATCTTCCAGTCAATCAGAATTTGTCTTTCTACTGATTCCTATTTAGCATATCCACAAAAACAGTGGCCTCAGATTCAAATGAGACTCTCACGGAGCTATCACCTCCAAAATGTGCTAATGCATTACTCCAGGATTTCGGAAAGGACAAATCTCGCAGGAAGGTACGATTTCATGCAAGGGTGGCACAACCACGCCCTTCTCACCGCTATGACAGCTTCAAGGCATCAATTTTCCTCAACTTGGGGTCAATCAGGTTTTTTTTCCAAACATAAACCTTTGTAGCAGGTTCCAGCCAGATGCCAAGATCTCGAACAAGAAGGAAATTTGTTCATGAAAAGCCTCCGGACAAACTACTGAGCAATAAAAGGTTATTGTCACAAGAGCCCTACTTGATGCGAGAACTTCTTTAAAAGGTATCAACATTGTGGAGGTGCCAGTCTTTGAGGTTTTCACCAGAATTTGGCAAGATTTGGAGCAGTTCCCAGAGCGGCAGCTATCAGAGCCGCTTGGTTACTCACAAACTTCAGCTTCCAGAAAAACAAATAATCACAAAAAAACCCCAAGAAAATGGGATTTCTAGAGGCTTAGATGTCACAACACTAATATAAACCTCAGTTTGTGTTAGATTTCACGATTTCTACATCAAGCTCGCTTTATGGTCCTTCTCAGGTTTTCTTTTACCAAGTTTTTAGGCTGGTGAAGGTGAAGTTCCTGCAGCTGGGTGAGTGTCTGATGTTTTGCTTGGAGGGCATTGGGAGCTCAAAGCATTTACATTTTTGTTGCTCCTGTTTTTTGCGTCCCCCCGAGCTCTCCGGTCGCCGGCGATGTCGCAGCTCCCTTAACATCACTTGCCGGACCAAGCCTGGCCCTTTTGTTCCTAAACCAAACTGCCGAGGTCGAGCCTCACGGAGGGAATCCTGACCTAAGTGCTTTCACAACACAAATAAACACATTTTACGGTTTCATGCCCAAACTATCAAATGGCTAATAGAGCCTTTAGCTCAGACGGGCTGGGGCTGCTGGGGATGTGCAATGCTGCATCTTTATAGAGATTATTAGACTTTAATGAGGTCTAGTGAGTCAGCCAAGCCTTTATGCTCGTAATCCCCCATTTCAATAGCCATAGGTAGCTCCTGGGTGCATTAATGTTGCTGGTTCTCCTGCTCTTCTGGGTGCATAAAAGCAACTTTGGATCCTATTTTGTTGTTATGGCTAGTGCCAGGCCAGGCTCACGCTGAACACAGAGCGACGGCGCTTGCCCGAGATCTCAAGCGGCAGAGCCGGGGCAGCGTGGGTGCCCGGGGTCTCCTGCTCCAGCCCACAGCCCCCCCACCTTCCCCGGAGAGCCGATGCGCCTTTCAAGTCATCTTGAAGTCTCTTTGCCACTGCTCTGTCATCTCTTCTTTTCTAAGGGAAGAGTTTCTCCTCTTCGCAGACCACGTTTCGCGGTGCCAACGCAAGCTGTGCTAAGGACAGACATCTCGTTCTCCAAGCGGTTCGAGAATCTTAATTCCTGGGCATAAATCCTGATTGTGATATTGGCTTTTCTGATAAACTTAACCAAGTTATTCCAGGCCTTTGTCTAGTCTGCCTTATCTCTCTTTATAAAGATAATATTCATTTGCCTTCTGGGGATGGAGTGAGACTGCAC